CAATATTCATATCATCATTGCATTAAAACAACATCATTTTTCATAGCTTTCTAGAGCCAATTTGTGAAGTTTGAGTTGTTCTTGAGCGTATATAGTTTACTCAACATCTACTCTAAAAGAGAGCCTTGTTCTTGAGTGTCTTAGTGTTGTATACACGTTAAGGGAAGCTTGTTTCCCTTGGCTGTACGAAGGAAAGGTATTTTCCTTCGGGTTGAAGTCTTGGAGTGCGGTATCTCCGAGCAAGTGTTGTTGAGGCTCGTGGGACTCGAGTTCTCAGGTTGTAACGGTTTGTTAAGCACCCATAAGCTTAACGGAAGTAGTGTAGCTCGAGAGAGTCTCTCGGGAGGCTGGATTAGCCACAAGTTGTGGTGAACCAGGGTAAAATTCGGTGTGCCTCTTACTCTTCTCTTTACTTCTCTTTTAAGTTTTTTTATTCCGCCTTCGTAAGTCCCTCTATGGCCTGCGACAATCCTCTCGCAATTGGTTTGCTAAACTTCGCTTGGCGTTACGGCGTTATGGTTTCCGTCAAGCCCATGCTGATCATACTCTTTTTGTTTATCGTCGTGGTCCAAATATACTGGTTTTTCTTATCTATGTTGATGACATTCTTGTTGCAGGAAATAATTCTTCTTTATGTACTGCTTTCAAGAAATATTTGGATGAATGTTTTAATCTGAAAGATCTTGGTCGTGTCTCTTACTTCCTTGGTATCGAGTGTGCTCGTTCCCAGGCAGGGATGGTGTTAAATCAGCGAAAATATGCTCTCGATATTCTTCAAGAGTTTAATTTATCTGGTTGTAAGCCTGTTGATACCTCTCTTCCTAGCAATCACAACTTGTCTCGTTCCACAAGTGCAGAGCTAGGTGACTCCACCAAATATCGACGTCTTATGGGACGACTACTATACTGTATCTGACTATCACTCGTCTGGATATATGTTATGCAATACATGTCTTGTCACAGTTTATGCAGGCACCCCGTTTAGATCACTGGAATGCTGCCCTGCGTGTTCTCCGCCATCTAAAGGGTCACCCCGGTCAGGGAATATTGTTACGCCGTGATGGTGATCTTACTCTTACAGCTTTTTCAGATTCTGATTGGGCAAGTTGTCCGTTGATGCGCCGATCCGTGACTGGTTATTTCATCATGCTTGGCAGGTCTCCAATTTCTTGGCGCACTTAAAGGCAAACAATAGTTTCCTGGTCTTCGGCCGAAGCTGAGTATAGAGCAATGGCAAACGCATGTACGGAGATTCGCTGGCTACGTGGGCTTCTTGCTGCTTTGGATGTACCGTGTTTTGCAACTCTGAGACTATATTGTGATAACAAATCTGTCTTGTTCATTGCTGCTAATCCAGTCTTTCATGAACGGTCAAAACATATTGATATTGACTATCACATCGTACGTGAATGTATTCAACGTAATCACGTTGTCACATCTTATGTGCCTACACGTTTTCAGACAGCTGATATTTTGCAAAAGCTTTACCGGATCCTCTTTTTCAGTCTCTCTTATCCAAGTTGAGCATTTTTTATATTCATGCTTCAACTTGAGAGTGAGTGTTAGCATACGTATATATTTTTTGTATATTGTATTTATTGTCTGGACTCCTCGTTTGTATCACCTCTATGTATTTATACCCAGATGTATCAATGAAACATCATCAAGTTTCACCTAAATAACCTCTTACAATTAATGATAAAATTATTATATTAAAAATTGTAAAAAAGTTAAATAAAAAGTTAGCTTTAGGTTGAAAGGAGCATGCATTTGTTCAATTAGGAAAGATTACCTCAAGTCGTAATTGGAAAACAAAGTAATATGACCCCGTTTGGTAATAATTTGAATGCTTTATCTTCAATATTTTTAAGAATTATACCCAACGATTAACGTTAAAAAAAAATATAGGGAGCATATTGTTTCCTCGTGAGACTTAAACCTCCCTGCATTGCTTGATGAATGATCCGCAATAAATGTCCTAATCTAAAAGCGCTCCTTTTCTCGTGAACAATTAGATTTGCCCAAAATCATATCCACACCTGACTCATTTGGCCCATAGATTTAATTAATTTTTTTAACCGCTCAAAAGGGCAATAAATATATCGAGATATTCTAAATGACCGCGATAATAATGAAAATAATAAAAGATTTTCCAATTTACAGCGATCCACCACTTTACACCAATGATTTCGTCTCAATTTTGAAAACCCGTAAGCCCAGAGTCAACGAGTCATCACCCTTTTCCTTC